CATGTATGCATCAATTGCCTTTATCTTTAGCATTATGCATAAAGTTCATACCATTCGTGAGAGAAACCCATTGCATTGTGAAACCCTCTTTAAAATGAGATCATTTTATGCTCATAGCCTTCACCCTTAGCCAAATGTGTTTTGCTTTAAAGTGCATAAGTTTGATTCACGGTTCGATCATTAATGAATGTTAAAGGATGAGATTCTTTGATTGTTTGGAATAGGAGAGTCATGATTTGAAATTCATTATGTGATGAGTATAGCTAAGTTCTTTGGAGTATGAGTGTGTGCATTGCATTTTAGAATTAATAACTAGGACGTTGAGATTGATTCATCTGAAAGACACCTTTGCAAGAAGCTTAAACCCCCGTTTGTTTTAAAACCTCTCTCCCTTCTTGAGTTTTGTTTGCTTAAGGGCAAGCAAAAGGCAAGTTTGGAGGAGTTGATATTGCTGCATATTTCAAGTATTTTGCATACATATAAGTTAGTTTATCATGCATTTACCTTGCACCTTAGACTAGTTTGCATCACTTTAGGTCCTAGAGTATTCTTGCACCAGCATATGCATGTTTCTTGCATTTTGCATCGCTTTCAGGTTGTTTTCGGTTATTTTGGAGTCTTGGAAGATTCGTGGACGTGCTAAGGCTCGTGAGGAGGCTCGTGGAAACTTGGAGAATTCAGGAATGCTTGCTAAGGGTCAGAGATCGAGAAGCTGATCGAGCATGGCCGGTCGATCTAGATGAGATCGACCAGAAGATCGAGTAGCCCATCCGATCCAAAGGAACTGATCGAGACCAAGATCGAGTGAAGAGATCGATAAAGGAGTACGGACGTAAATGACGCCATGCAGAGCGAGAGTCGGATCGAGTCCACCACTCGATCCTCCGAAGATCGACTCCAAGATCGGACGAAGCACTTGATCCACCGAAGAAGATCGAGATACAGATCGAGCTGAAGTCACGATGTCCAAAGACGATCGAGCGAGATGCTCGATCTCGAGGTCGATCTCAGTGCACTTAAACCGTTTTTGGCTTCTAGCGAGAGGGGGGACCATCGAGCTGTTTGGCCTATTTCGGGAAGGCGGCGATCTTGTTTTTGAACACACGTTTTCACTTTATCTTTTTAGAGTTTTTCTCTCTGTTCGAAGGCGATTTTGCCATTGTTAGACCTTCAAGCTTTTTCTTGCTTTGTTCTTGAATATTGAATCGTTTAAGTTTAAAGCAATCGTTTTTCATGTTTACTAGATCATCCTCTATGCTTTGTTCGGTTTACTTTATGTGTAGCGAGTAGTCTATTAGGGTTTTGGGGTTGAGAGGATTCAAGAGGGTCGAAAAGGTTTTCAAAGTTTAGTGTTTTCTTGTTCTTCATGGCTTTCTCTTCTAGGATATCGAGTTCTTAAGGCTTAGAGACTCTCACGCCAAGATCTTTATGATCCAAGGGGCCTCTTACCTTGACAGGATCCAGAGGTCCTTGAAAATCGAATCCTAAAGGCTAGTCTACCTTTCCCAAACGCCATGGTAGTTTAGGGGACTAGTTAGGCCGTGTGTTTGAAATCTAATTTTTATGCCCTTCAATCTCTTTTTCCGCCAAACGCCATGGGTCTGGAGAAGAGAATGAAGGAGTGATCCATACCACACGTCATGGATGGATCTTGTTTTGTTTTCAAGGCCTAGAGAATCTCACAAAGTGAGTAGATCTAAAGTTTTCAAATCAAGCTTGAACCTTTGAAACCCTTGAACATGAATCTCAACCCTGGACCCTCTTTCTTAGTATTCTTACATCTCTGTTAATCATTCGCTTGCTATATATTCGCAACCTGGTCATTAGATTCATTTCTGTTGAACTTTTAGACGAGATCGATCGTTGTTGCTCGATCTAGTGGTCGATTCTGCTTAGATTTGCTTAGTACTTGCATTCCTAGTGTTCTTTCTTCACCCAGGCTGGATTGATACCTCTTGCATACTATACTACAACTATAGGTTGCTTGAGTTTTGATATTCTAGCTTGAAAAAACAATGTTTATCAAATGGCGCCGTTGCCAACATGGGTTTGTTAGGAAGCATTAGGATTTGGTGCTTGGCAAAGACTAAGCCTTTTACTTTTATTTTGATTACTCATTGCTCTACCTTACTGATTGTGTTTTCAGGTACATGAATATGTGCTCCAGGGGTGACAATAATCTTCTACGACCCCGGGACAATATTTACCAACTCGGACACGCAAGACAAATAAGAGCAAGAGAGCAAGCTCAAGCCTTTGAAGAGATTGTGCAAGCTGGTACAGTAAACTTTGCAAGAATGGCTGAGCAAGAACATTCTGAGGGACCTCCACCAGCTCACGGTGCTGTACGAAGGGGTAATGGAAACCCTAATCACACAGCTAGACCACCATGGATCATTGGTGCTGTAGATGCTCCAAATACACATCATAACTGCTTTGGGATCACTCCTCCACCAGTACAGAACAACAATTTCGAGATAAAGCCTGGATTTGTCTCTATAGTTCAGAACAACAAGTTCCACGGGCTGGCAATGGAAGACCCTTTGGAGCACCTTGACAACTTTGAGCAAGTGTGTGGGATGATAAAGATCAATGGGATCTCGGAAGATGCTTTCAAGCTACGGCTCTTCCCATTTTCTCTTGGAGATAAGGCTAGGCATTGGGAGAAGACCCTTCAACAAGGCACCATTACTTCTTGGGCTGACTGTAAGAAGGCGTTCCTCTCAAAGTTTTTCTCGAGCACAAGAACAGCTAGGCTGCAAAGTGAGATCAGCGGATTCACTCAAAGACAGAACGAGACATTCAGTGAAGCTATGGAGTGGTTCAACGACTATACATTTCAGTGTCCTCACCACGGCTTCAGTGAAGAGACTCTCTTGAGCACAATATACCGAGGAGCATTACCTAAGATCAGAATGTTGCTTGATACAGCAAGCAAGGGTAACTTTCTTGGTCAAGAAGTGGAAGAGGGTATGGAGCTTATAGAGAACTTGACTTTGAGTGATGGGAATTACACTGAGGACTACGACTGCACACCTAGAGGTTCCGAGATGGAGTCACACAAAAAAGAGCTCAAATCGCTCCATGAGAAGATAGATAAGCTTGTTTTTGCAAATCAGAAGCAAGTACATTTTGTGGGAGAAGCCAAAGATGTCTTAGAGGAGTTAGAGCTGAGCCAAGAAGAAGCTAATTGGGTTGCTGATCAGAACTACAACAAACCTCTGAGCTATTCACAAGGATACCAAGCCAACAACAATCTCTTATATAGGAGCACAGACGTTGAGAATCCAAAGGATCAGGTGTACCCCCCTCAACAAGCAAAGCCTTTTGTACCTTACAACAAGGGGTTTCAACAAAACAGTGGGTATGAAGGTCCGAGGCAAGGCAATTTCCAGCAGCAACAGCAGGGCAACAAAGGCTACACTCCTATGTTTCCTCCTGTTTTCATGCCTCAACAGCACCAAGCTCCACCGCCTCCTCAAGATCCAGTTCAAGCAATGTTTCAACAATTGCTTCAAGGTCAAGCTTCTACAAATCAGAAGTTTGTTGAGATGAACAACCGGCTAGACTCCTCTCTTACTGACATGTCTACACAGATCACCAATCTGAACAACAAGATCAAGCAGTTAGAGAAGGGCAAAGCTAGTACAAGCGGTCAAAGCAGCTTACCGGGCAAGTGTGAGCAAAACCCCAAGGAATATGCAAACGCTATTACCCTAAGAAGTGTTAAAGAGCTTCCGCCGAGAGTTGCACCTATAGCCGATGAGGACATTGTTGTTCAAGAGAGGGAGGGTAAGCTTTCAGATGATGAGCAAATTACCTTTGACAATGTGTGGATTGAAAGACCGAGGAAAGGCAAGGAAGCCGTTGTAGAGAAGAAAGTAGAGGAGGTGAGTAAAGAGAAAGATGCATTTGTTCCTCCACCATACAAACCAAAGCTTCCTTTTCCTGGACGGTTCAAGAAGCAGCTGTGTCATAATTGTTACAAAATATATACTGTGTCGTAATTGTTACAAAATATATAGTAACAAATATTGTTACGGATTTGTGACTAATTTTTGTAACTAAACTATACGATTTTTGTGACTCAACTTAAATCACTCACAGTTACAAATATTTTGTAAGTATGTCATCATAATTAGACACTTTTTTGACTAACCTCTGCATTGAGTCGTAGACTCATAGTTGTTACTATTTTGAAACAAAAATTAAAACTACATGTAAAAAAAAAGAGAATAGTTTCATTTGTGGAAAAAAAATAAAAATACATAATAACTAGAAAAAGTAGAAATGACATATATAAATTTTAAAATATTAATAAGATTCATCATTAAATAATTTAATATATGAATTTTCATCTTCATCATCTGATCTAATTTTGTTATTACTTCTGGATCATCAAAATCTTCTGTTTGGTCTTATAGATAAGTTATTGTCTCGACGTATAATAAAAACCAAAACTAAAGAAAATATAAAAAGCTCAAAAAGGAGAAAAAATATAAATTATTCAAGAAATAAGGCAAAAAAGAAAATTCAATATAATTTTGATGTAAACAAAACTATTTATTATGAAGATAGAGGAGAATTTCACCGTGAAGGCTGCAGATGGATTTGTTTTTAAGAAAAATAGTAGACATGAATTTGATTTAAACAAAACAAAGTTTATTGATGAAGTTAGAGGAATTCATTTTAATAAAGAAATTCAAAAAGATATAATCGATATATTCAAAATTTATTTTCCTTTTCTTAAGTTATTATAAAATGTAACATGTTTTTAATAATAAATTATAAATTGGGGAGGCTTATAAAATAAAATCAATTTTTTTAAGTTATTATAAAGGTAATGTTTTTTTTTCTTTATCTACTTAAGTTTCGAACTAACACATAGATAGAATTAATATGGAACACGCTTTAACCACTAGGCTAATGAAACGATTTTGTTATACATGACAGAGTTAAATAATTTATTTAACCAATAGAGATCTATATCAATTAGGCAGACGACGGACATCGACAGCTCATCACACACACACACGCACTCTCTCTCTATCAGATGGACATCGAGAGCTTTTTTTCGGCTCTGCTGGATCCTTCTCGATTCTTCTTCTAGATCTCTGTCACCAGATCAATGGCGGCTCCTCGACATCGTTACTGCCGCCTTCTTTGGTATCGTCCTTCCCTTCACTCCCCTCGGCGATTCTATGGCGGCGTCTGGTCAGCAACTTTGCCTAGACAAACCGCCGCCTCCTTCATCGTTCGATGACGACGCCGAGGAGTTGACGCAGGCAGATCAGGAGACCGCCGGGAAAGTGGTTTCTCAGGTTGGAATTCATGAGTCTATGGCTTCGATTTTGAAAGACCTTGAGAGGTTCAGACCCAAGAGAGCGGCTGTGTTGATATGTATCTTCGAAGGAGACGATGGAGATTGTGTACTCATATTCGCTAAGAGGTCTTCCAGATTGTGTACTCACTCGGGTTTGTGCTTGCTTTCAGCTTACTGCTCAGGATAGCGTTTAAGGTCTGTTTATGGTTGCAGGAGAAGTTTCAGTGCCAGGTGGTAAAGCGGAGGAAGATGATGGGATGACAGCAACCAGAGAGGCCGAGGAAGAGATTGGATTGGAACATTCGCTTGTTGATGTTGTCACTTCTCTCAAAACATTTCTGTCTAAGGTATCAAAACTGCTCCCAAATACTGCTTGACGATTTTTGTTGATCTGTGTTTGAACACTAAGGTCATAGTATTAGCTACCAGTCGCTCTATTTTAGCTTTGATTCTTTAACCTCTATCTTAGCTATACTACATCATAGTAGCAGGGATCTGGTAGCTAAAGTGACGTTCTTGAAAGCTTTATAGTTATTCTGAATGTGTTTCAGTTATTCTGTAGCATCTTCTCGTTTTGCAAAATGAGAGATGCATAGTTCTCGATGTCTGCTTGCTTGTATATATCTACAAAGTTAAAGCGCTTTTGGACTTTCTCATGTGAAAATTAGGATGCTAGTGTATGACTACATCAATGATGGCAACTTGTTGATATCATCACAGTCTAATTTGTTTGATATGTGTAATTTAATTGCCACATTGTAAGCGAAGTATAACAACAAAAGGAAAACAAGATAACAAATCTACAAATCTACTAGTGTATGACTACATCAATGATGGCAACTTTCTGGATATCATCAGTCTAATTTGTTTGCTACTGATCAGATGGCTCGTACCAGGCAAACAGCTCACAAGTCTACTAGAAGGAAATGCCCCTAGGAAGCAGCTTGCTACTAAGGTAAGTCTCAACTATTTTGATCTGTGTAATTTATTTGCCACATTGTTGGATTTGTTTCTGATTGCTTGTTTCAATTTTAGGCTACACGTAAGTCTGCCCCAACCACTGTTGGAGTCAAGAAACCCCATCGTTACCGTCCTGGAACTATTGCACTTCGTTATGTTAACGTATTTAAACCTGTTTCATTAAAAAGTTAACGTATTTTTATTAATTTAATATAATGATTTACCAAAATGTTACCTTTTTTTATGTACCGCCATAAATTTTCGTAAGGGAGCCTTAAAATTTCATCAACCGCTTTAAGTTTTGCCAAAATTTCCCCCACTCATTGAATCCCTGAAAAAGTGTCAATATTATTTAACCATCTTCCCACTACCTATCAAAACTGTTCTTTCGTCGCTTGTCTTTTATTAGAAGCGATTAGTTTGTCTTTCATATCAGAGATCTCATTGGAAGGTAATCCTACATAATTCTGGATTTGTAGAATTTAATCTATAGTTGAATTGTATTCCTTTTTAATCGTATTCCTCTCTTGAATCCGTGTTGTTTGCTGTATTGATATTCAATACAGAGATCAATAATCATCTGTATTTATAGTGTAGATATGGAAGAGCCACATGTGGATCGAACAACTTTGCCCTTGCTGCATCCTGGTCGACAAAATGGAGCTAAATGGTATAGATTTTATAGTGCTTTACAATTTTCTTATAAAATGTTTGCAATTAGTTTTGTTATTTATAGGAACTTATTATGAGTTGATATGGTTTTCGTTTTTGATTAGTCTTCATACAACGTAGCAAATAGATTCTGGTTTGGTTTTTTTGTTGAAGTTATCATTGTCATGTATAAATAGATTCTGGTTTGTTTTTTTTGTTAAAGTTATCGTTGTCACGTATAAGTAGATTCTGGTTTGTTTTTTTTGTTATAGTTATCATTGTCAACATACGTAGCTTGCGTAGCTTGCTCAGATACGTAGCTAATTACTTTACTCAATTTTTGGTATTTTGTCTAGGTTGCTGGGTCATCTAAACAAGGCTATATCTTTGGACTTGGAGCTCTAAAGGAATTTGCTTTACCATCTGCTAATGCTTCTTCAAGTCAACCACAACCAGAAGAAGCAGAGATGATTGCAAATCGCATGCAAGGGTTGGAAGCTGAACTCAAACAAGGTCATGAAGAAAATCTAGAAATTAAAAAAAGACTTGAAGCTATTGAGAAGATGGTTGCATCTTTTGCAAATCAGAATGCTTAAAGCTACTACATCATCTATCTAATTTAGTAATTCTAGTTTCTTTTTTATCTTAACTATGTTTAGTTTTCATTTTATTAAGACTTTTTTATATAAATTATGTTTGTGTATTGACTTTGCTTCGACATAAGTAATATAATCTTTGGTTTATTATATTTTAGTTTTATTAATTAATTATTTAATTTTAAAATGTGAATTGAAGTAACAAAATATTTGGTAACCGTTTCTGACTAAATTGTAATGATTTTTACAAATATTTTATATCGATTTTAGTAAGAAAAATAGTTACAATAAAAAAATATTATAACAATTATATGATTATAGTGTAGTTATTAATTGTGACGGGTTTCTAACAGTATTATGGTCACTAATTGTGTTATGTTTTTGTGATTATAATTTAGTAACTAGTTATAACAAATTTTATGATATTTTTGTTTGTAATAATTTATAGTGGATCAGTGACGTAAATATAGTAAGAATTTGTTACAAATATGTGACAATTTTTTGTCACAGCTTATGACCTAATTGTGATAGTATTTTTTGTCATAAACTGTATCGTTTTCGTGACTGTTTTAATATCGTTACAAGTGGTGACAAATTGTTACTACTGTCAATCGTCACATCACGTTATGACGTTTTTATGACAAATGAATTTGTGACGATCAAGATATCGTCCTAGTCTTAACCTTAAACGATGCCGACCAGGGATGAGCGGATGTTGCCTTTAGGACTCCGCTGGCACCTTATGAGAAATCAAAGTTTTTGGGTTCCGGAGTGTGTATGGTCTCAAGGCTGAAACTTAAAGGAATTGAGGGAAGGGCACCACTAGGAGTAGAGCCTGCGGCTTAATTTGACTAAACACGAGGAAACTTACTAGGTCCAGACATACTAAGGATTGACAGACAGAGAGCTCTCTCTTGATTCTATGGGTGGTGGTGCATGGCCGTTCTTAGTTGGTGGAGCGATTTGTCTGGTTAATTCCGTTAACGAACAAGACCTCAGCCTGCTAACTAGCTACATGGAGGCATCCCTTCACGGCCGGCTTCTTAGAGGGACTATGGCCGTTTAGGCCAAGGAAGTTTGAGGTAATAACAGGTCTGTGATGCCCTTTGATGCTATGGGCCGCACACGCGCAACACTGATGTATTCAACGAGTTCACACCTTGGCCGTCAGGTCCGAGTAATCTTTGAAATTTCATCGTGATGGGGATAGATCATTGCAATTGTTGGTCTTCAACGAGGAAATCATCATCAGCTCGCGTTGACTACATCGCTGCCCTTTGTACACACCGCCCGTCGCTCCTACCGATTGAATGAACCTGTGAAGTGTTCGGATCGTGGCGATGTGGGTAGTTTGCGGTCTGCGACTTCGTGAGAAGTCCATAAACCTTATCATTTAGAGGAAGGAGAAGACGTAACAAGGTTTCCGTAGGTGAACCTGCGGAAGGATCATTGACGTAACCTGTCAAAACCAGAACGACCCGAGAACAATCGATCATCACTCTCGGTGTGCAAGTTTCTTAAATGATCTTGTGCCTGCCGATTCCATGGTTTCGCGTAAGATTCTTATCAAGGTATAGATATATCTTGGTTTGATCATGCGTGTAGCTTCCGCTTATCACAAAACCCTGGCACGAAAAGTGTCAAGGAACGTGCAACTAAACAGCTAGCATTTGCCTTCCCAGAGACGGTGTTTGCGTGAACGTTGTGCTGCAATTTAAAGTCTAAAACGACTCTCGACAACAGATATCTCGGCTGTCGCATCGATGAAGAACATAGCGAAATACGATACTTGGTGTGAATTGCAGAATCCCGTGAACCATCGAGTCTTTGAACACAAGTTGCGCCCCAAGCCTTTTGGCCGAGGGCATGTCTGCCTGGGTGTCACAAATTGTCGTCCCCCCATCCTCTTATGGATATGGGACAGAAGCTGGTCTTCCGTGTTTTACCGAATGCGGTTGGCCAAAATCTGAGCTAAGGACACCAGGAGTGTCTCAACATGCGGTGGTGAATTCAAGCCTCTTTAGTTTGTCGGTCGCTCCTGTCTGGAAGCTCTTGATGACCCAAAGTCCTCAACGCGACCCCAGGTCAGGCGGGATCACCCGCTGAGTTTAAGCATATCAATAAGCGGAGGAAAAGAAACTAACTAGGATTCCCTTAGAAACAGCGAGCGAACCGGAAAGAGCCCAGCTTGAAAATCGGACGTCTTCGGCGTTTAAATTGTAGCCTGGAGAAGCTTTTTCAGCGGCGGACCGGGCCTAAGTTCTCTGGAAAGGGATGCCAGAGAGACCCTGTCGCGCCCGGACCCTGTCTTACCACGAAGGGCTGTTTACGAGTCAGGTTTTTTGGGAATGCAGCCCCAATCGGGCGGAAAATTCCGTCCAAGGCTAAATATGGGCGAGAGACCGACAGCGAACAAGTACCGCGAGGTAAAGATGAAAATGACTTTGAAAATAGAGTCAAAGAGTGCTTGAAATGGTCGGGAGGGAAGCAGATGAAGGCCGGCGATGCGTCCCGATCGGATGTGGAATAGAGTAATCCGGTCCGCCAATCGATTCGGGGCGTGGAACGACGCGGATTAAGGTGGTGGCCTGATAGAAACCTTTTTTCACAGTTCTAATTATCAATCCTAAAGCCTCTTAGTGTTGCTGTAGTACTTTAGGTGTCAATCCAGCCTAGGTGAGAAAGATACTAGGAATCCAAGAGCAAAGTAAAGCTAAGTCAAATTCGGGTAAATGAGGGAGAAATTCAACTAAAACTAAATGCAATACGAAATGAGCAAGAGAACAATTTTAAAATCCTCTCTTAAGGGTTAGAACCTACTAGAAGAAAACTAGGAATTTAAAGTGCAAGACTACTGATTATGAAAATTCGAAAACTGAAAACAGGCAATTAAGGCTATTTCTAGCAACTTAAATGAGCAAACTTTAAATCTAAAGGAGAAAGCTTTTGAAACTACTTGAATGATAAATAACAGATCCAAGGATGAGGTTCATGCTTAGGGAAGCTCAAGGTTCGATCTTGGTTTGCAAAAAGTAAATCTACACATTTCAAAATGAGCTATCCTTAAGCCTAAGAAGCAATCTTCCCATGGCTTGTGGGTAAGATAAATTCCTCTCATCATTCATCCCCTCCAAACCCATGGCTTGTGGTGGAAAAGGATGGTTGATGGAGCTGAAGCACGGATCTTAACATGGCTTAACTAGCCCTTACTTGCCACTTCCGTGGTCTTTAAGGCATACTAGTCTCTTGGTTTGGACATAAGAGATCTCCTAAGTTCTTATGAGAAAAGGAAATCTCTTGGATCATAAAGCCTCTCTCAAGGTCTTTAAGCATTTGATACTCCAAACCAAGAAAGGATAAAGTTAAGAGCAAGAAAATACCAAGATCTAACCTTTAAAACCTTCCTAATCACCTCATCCTTAAATCTTAAAGAACTACTCTATTATCATTTTCAAACCCCTCTTAATCATAAGATAAGAGGAGTTAAACATGATTAAGATAACAAGAAAGAAAGATTAAAGCTTAAAGAGAAGTTTTTAAATTAAAAATCAAAGTTTTTACAAAAGATAAAGCTTGAAAATGGAAAAAGATGCTTTAATGGTGATCCACAAAACCCAAAAATTGGGATGGAGGCTGTAAAATTCGTGGATCCCCCAAAATTTTAGGTTTAGAGTGTTTATATAGGACCACACAACTGGTCCCCTCACTAAAAGACAAAGTCTGAGCTGTCCAAGGAAGGAAGCAGAAATCTGGGCCGAAGATCGACCCGCCTGGTCGATCTAGTGGTCGATCTGAGCTGAAACGAGTGGCCTGGTCGATCTAGTGGTCGATCTGAGGCTGAAACGAGTGGGATGGTCGATCTCGTGGTCGATCTCTGCCTGAAACGAGTGGGATGGTCGATCTGGTGGTCGATCTCTGCCTGAAACGAGTGGGATAGTCGATCTGGTGGTCGATCTCTGCTTAATTCTTTTTGGCCGAACTCTTTCTTGACTCCCAGCAACTCCCAAGCTCTTCTTTTGACTCATTGTCCATGCTCAGCGTCCAACAACAGCTCCATGTACTCCATATTACCTAAAAACAATGCATATATGCAAGAAATATGCAAATGCTAATGCAAACATGTCTAAAACCTAAAATGGAGCAAAAGTTACAAATAATCTAAATATGAATGCAATATAAATGCAAAATCTATCCTAAATGAGTGCTAAAATATGCTAAATTATGAGTTTATCAACTCCCCCAAACTTGCCTTTTTGCTTGTCCCCGGCAACGGCGCCAATTGATAGAGACCTTTTTTTACAGTTCTAATTATCAATCCTAAAGCCTCTTACTGTTGCTGTAGTACTTTAGGTGTCAATCCAGCCTAGGTGAGAAAGATACTAGGAATCCAAGAGCAAAGTAAAGCTAAGTCAAATTCAGGTAAATGAGGGAGAAATTCAACTAAAACTAAATGCAAAACGAGATGAGCAAAAGAACAATTTTAAAATTCCCTCTTAAGGGTTAGCAACTACTAGAAGAAAACTAAGAATTTAAAGTGCAAGACTACTGATTATGAAAATTTGAAAACTGAAAACAGGCAATTAAGGCTATTTCTAGCATCTTAAATGAGCAAACTTTAAATCTAAAGAAGAAAGCTTTTGAAACTACTTGAATGATAAATAACAGATCCAAGGATGAGGTTCATGCTTAGGGAAGCTCAAGGTTCGATCTTGGTTTGCAAAAAGTAAATCTACACATTTCAAAATGAGTTATCCTTAAGCCTAAGAAGCAATCTTCCCATGGCTTGTGGGTAAGATAAATTCCTCTCATCACTCATCCCCTCCAAACCCATGGCTTGTGGTGGAAAAGGATGGTTGATGGAGCTGAAGCACGGATCTTAACATGGCTTAACTAGCCTTTACTTGCCACTTCCGTGGTCTTTAAGGCATACTTGTCTCTTGGTTTGGACATAAGAGATCTCCTAAATTCTTATGAGAAAAGAAAATCTCTTGGATCATAAAGCCTCTCTCAAGGTCTTTAAGCATTTGATACTCCAAACCAAGAAAGGATAAAGTTAAGAGCAAGAAAATACCAAGATCTAACCTTTAAAACCTTCCTAATCACCTCATCCTTAAATCCTAAAGAACTACTCTATTATCATTTTCAAACCCCT